ATTATATGATTACAACGTATTCCATTCTTTTATTCCTAACTACAACCTTAATTCTACCATTTAATCTACATTCTAAAACAAACTTCGAAACCTACACTCTAATGATAACTTTTAATCCTAAGCCTCATTTCTGTCAATCAACACCAGGGTCGGGATTTTCAATACAAATGTCAACACAGTTCTACTGTATGGAGCGGAAACCTGGATAACTACGAAGGCCATCATCCAGAAGATACAGGTGTTTATTGACAGTTATCTACGTAAAATACTTCGGATCTGTTGACCAGACACTATTAGCAACAAACTACTGTGGGAGAGAACAAACCAGATCCCAGCGGGGGAAGAAATCAGGAAAAAGCACTGGAAGTGGATAGGACACACATTGAGGAAAGCACCCAACTACTCCTAGTGAAACGATGAACAGGCATCACCATGAAATTCTAAAATCTAACAAAGACATTGTCTAATATTCCCTGATTTTCAGTGATTGTAAGTACTTGGAATCAGTCTACTTCAGATAGCGTCCAACCTATTGGCTTCCGTCATACTTCGTAGGTTGTTCAAAAACCGAGAAAGATTGACTCGCGAAGAGCAGGCTGGGTTTCGTTCTGGCCGAGGACGTATTGATCATATCTTCACCTTCCGCCAAATGTTAAACACCGCCATACTTATCAAAGGCCAACAATCGTAGTGTTTCTTGACATCAGGGCTACCTTCGACTCGCTGGATAGGACTGTTCTCTGGGATTGTCTATCGAAGAAGGGTGTGCCTGAGAAGTTTATTAACATCCTAAAAGCCCTATATACAAACATCTCAGGCAGAGTGAGGGCATACAACCACCTCTCTCCATTGTTCTATTCGAGCAATGGGGTTAGGCAGGGTTGCCCAATCTCACCATTCCTCTCCAACTTTGCCATCGATGACATTCTGGAAACAGCTTTGATGGATGTAAGTAATGGTGGTGTGGATCTGTTGCCTGAAGAAAGACTTCTCGACCTTGAGTATGCGGATGATATTGTCTTACTGTGCGATAATGCCCAAGCCATGTAATCCGCACTTAATCAGTTGGCAATCAGTGTCCGTAGGTATGGTATGTGTTTTGCACCTTCCAAGTGCAAAGTACTTCTACAAGACTGGCAGGATTCTAATCCTGTACTCACCCTGGATGGTGAGCAGATAGAAATAGTCGAGAAGTTCGTGTATCTGGGTAGCTGCATAAGTGCTGGTGGGGGTGTGAGTGATGAGATCAATGCACGTATAGTGAAAGCCAGAGCGGCTTATGCCAATCTGAGCCACCTTTGGCGCCTTCGTGATGTTAGTCTGGCTGTAAAAGGTCGGATCTACAGCGCGTCGGTGAGAGCAGTTTTACTCTATGCTTGTGAAACCTAGCCTCTCCGAGTTGAGGACGTTAGAAGACTCTCTGTGTTCGATCATCGCTGTCTCCGAAGGATTGCTGACATCCAGTGGCAACACCATGTCAGTAATGCAGAGGTTCGGCATCGTGTGTTCGGGCACAGAGATGATAATGCAATCGATGTCACCATCTTGAAACACCGACTTCAGTGGCTTGGATATGTTCTACAAATGTCGTCCCAGAGAATTCCACGTCGTGCATTATTTGCCGACTCTGGGACTGGTTGGAAGAAGCGGAGAGGTAGTCAGTGTATGACATGGTGTCGTGGTATGAAGGAAATCTGTAAAGGACTGGCTTCTGTTGGTCCTTCCCTGTCTGGGGTCTGAGAGATGGTGCTACACAGTGACTAGAGACGTTATCAGATATGGCTCAGAATAGAAGTCAGTGGTGATCCTGCGGTAACCTTCTTTTACTTTCTTCATAAAAAGTGGTTGTAACTTATTTAAGTGAAAAAATTCTTCTGATTGTACCTTTCCGTTTCCCCCATTATTACACTACAATGTACTAATCAGTGATCGTTATTGTTCTTTTTTTTCATATCCACACCTTACCTTCTATTTTCTCTTCCCATTGTCATTGTTCTGTGTGGCGCATATATATTCTGGTGCCCCCTTGTACCAACATTTATGTGTTCAAATAAAATACAAATAATTGTAATCAATCCATAATGAATTATATCATTATTTACTACAACAAATCAATGCATTTCACTCACAATACAAATAAGTAACCTATTGATATTTAGGTCGATCGCACTTCAACCAAACTTCTATTCTTGAACACACGCACACAAACAATCACATATATGTACATACAGAGAAAGGTACTATTTTTTTATTTTTTAAAAAAAACAATACAAAATGCATAATTTTTATCATCTTGAATAAAACCATTGTACGTGATAAAAAGTACAATGCCAGTAACCATACAAATACACACACACACACACACATACCATTAACCAGTCACAGGGAGGAGTGAGGTGGAGAGAGAAAGGTATATAAAAAACCAACACCATTAATAATTGGCCAAGATGAATGTAATTCTCAGTCAGTATATCAAGTATACGTATTAGATTACTAACTGTTAACAGTGTTTCCAAGTTATCAATAGTAGTAGTCTAACAATCATCGATTCATGATCTTAATCAAATGTCAACTGTACATTAATTTAATTTTGCATAATTTCATTTCTCATTTGATCGATATTTTAATAAATTTTATTCTAGACAAAAATATAATTACACTAATTGAAATCATGGGTCAGTTGAAGCCAGACCACCATTGAAAACCTGGAAGCACTGGACGGCCGTTTCGTCCTAGTATGGGACTCCTCAGCAGTGCTCATCCACGATCCCGCACCACGCGGAGCTCGAACCCAGGACCTACTGGCTTCGCGCGCGAGCACTTAACCACTAGACCATTGAGCCGGCATCCAACGGTGTTAATGTCTAACTTCAACCAATCCACGAAGCTGCGCCACCGTACACCATTGTCTTCAGTGAGTTCCTATCTCACAACAGACCTGGTTGAACTCCACTGGTAACGACTTCTCACTTGAACTCCTGAGGAGTCCCATACTAGGACGAAACGGCCGTCCAGTGCTTCCAGGTTTTCAATGGTGGTCCAGCATCAACTGACTCATGATTTCAATCTGTGAAATTTCTAAAATCTCCACAAAACCCATTCTGAAAAATATAATTAGTTAAATTCATAAGTCGATTTAATCTAGACCAACATTGAAAACCTGAAAGCACACCTTAACAGTACACACCCATGATCCCTCATACAGAATCCGAACCTAAAACATTCAGTGAACGCTTAACCTTTCAACTCATGAATTCAACTATTAGACTAATACAATCTTCACAAACACTCATTCTGATAAAAATATAAATGTCAGTGACATCAGGAATAATATGGAATTTAGTTTGAACTGTAGACAGAGATTCGAGTCAGTTATTAAATTGTAAAAAAAAGACGTTTTAGCATCCTGAAAAGTGTTCACAGGAATTAAATTAGAGAATACTTTGAATTGAGCAACGATTGAGTTGATTTTCAATAGTTCTCTTTCATAAACATTCAGTTAGTTCGTGACTAATCATGGTGGTACAGATAGATTTACTCATTACTTAGAGATAAAGATAAACGTGTTACGAATTTCTTATGAATACGAACACTTGAATCCTTATAGCTTCTACTATGTGTAAGAGACGAGATCGAAAACCATAAAGGAAACTGGTAGAAATATGATAAATCATTTTAAATGACATAGTTCTATCTACTAAATGACCGCTATGAACCAAGTGTGATAGAAACGAGTTGCATATTGTTTTGACAATACCCTTTCCTAACCACGAATAGAAGTGTTCACTAACTTATTGGTTCAACTGTCTGTTTTTGCGTCAAATATAACTTTCTCCATAAGAGCAACTAAAGTCATAGATACACATAGATTTGGCAAAACCAGGTAACTTATTCTTTAGTTGAGGAATCATCATAGATAGACAGAGGTCAACCTATTTCATAGCACATCACTAGTTATATCTCCGTTGAGTTACAGATTCAGGAAGAGAAGTTTCTTGCTAACCGTTGATGTTGCTACTTTCCTATTTATTACATCTAAGTGTTTCTTCAAAAAAACCTGTAGATAACCCATTTCAATCACCATATTATAAATAAGCTCTAATTTTTTTATTGATGATGTCGTTTAAGTATATCTTCCTAGCTCTATTGGTAAGACATCTAACTAGGTTTCTCTTCTAATGAATGGGTATAAAGCTCAAGAAGTGTGTACAGACTTGCTGAAGAACTTTTCCTATACACAATTCTACTCTGTAATTTCATGTCAAATACATACGATTGTCCCCATTCGTGTTTTTATTCACTACATAGCTTCAATTGAATCATGAATTCAAGTATCGAAATTATTATAATATCAACAAATTTCACCCATATCTGATTGAAATTACTACATTTTTCCCAGTTTAAGGGTTGTGGAGATTGTTAAGTTTTTTTATTGAGATCACGAACCAATTGATGTTAGACCACCACTGAAAACCTGAACGGCCGTTCCGTCCTATTGTGGGACTCCTCAGCAGTGCGCATCCACGATCTCGCTCGCGAGATTCAAACACAGGACCTTCACTCTCGCGCGCGAACGCTTAACCTACTGGACCACTGAGCCGCCATCCAGTGGTGTCAATGTCTAACCTCAACCAATCCACGAAGTCGCGCGACCATCTCCCATTGTAGTGAAGTAGACACTTGTTTCTACCCGGCATGGATTAGTCCCATTGGTCACGGCTTTTCATCAGAACTCCGAGGATTTTCTCACGTAGCTAGTCACTAGTGAGCACATGGTAATTATCAGTTTAGGGGCTGTGGAGCACTAGACGGCAGTTTCGCTTTATTGTGGGACTCCTCAGCAGTGCACATCCACGATTCCACTCGCGGGATTCGAACCCAGGCCCTTCATTAAAAAGAGAGAGACAGACAGAATTTCAATCAACAAACATACGCTGTAAATATTACATCATCATTATTATCATTCTATATTGCAATAGAAAGACAAAACACACATAGTATATAAACCAATTATCATATGTATTTTGAAATTATATCCTAATTACAATTGTAAATCATTAGAATCAATAATTGTTCTTTCTTATTCACTTTTTCCATTCTCCAAACTTAAAATTCAAAGAAAAAAACCAAAGAAAATCAAGCATAAGAGAATAATCATGATGAATAGACCGTCAATGCAAAACAATAAAAAAAGATATTTCGGGGGACAAATGGGCATGGGTAAATAGGTGAGTGTGTGTGAGTGAGAAAAGAACTAACCCATAAAAAGAATATAATAGGACTCTATTGATTGTCCATACACAATGGAACAAAAGGAGACACACACACACACAGAGAGAGAGAGAGAGTTGGCAAGGGAACAATTCCTGTTAAAATTCATATGAACATGGAGAGAATATACTGTTCTATTGGATTAAATTAACCAATGAGAATATGTGGATACTGGTTTTTGTGTGAATAATGTAGACTTTTTACATGGTAAAAATGTTTTCTCATTGAATTCTTTAGATTTACATTCATTTATATCAATTGAAGGTGATAGAAGAATATGAGGATTAGATAATGCATCTGGTTCATCTAGTTCTCCTATTCCACGTCCTTTTCCATCAATTTCCATATCAATAACAGAAAAGTTTGTTTGAGGCGCTGATGATGTTAAATAACTACAACAATATGCAGAGAAAAAAACAGGGGTCCAATAAACAGAAATAGAATATGTGTATCCGAGTGTCGGATAGAACATGAGAACATCAACATAGATATAAGCACTAGTTACGAGCATATGAATCAATAACATGGACATATCAGACAATCACTATCAACTATACAAAATAGTGTACATATCTGTATCAGCGCAACTTATCATATTACATTCAGAAGAGATTAAATTAAAAAGATGAACAATAAACAATGATAATTAAAAAGACTAGACATTGAAGAATATCATTTAAGAATGACAAACTATGTATGAAAGGAGATTAGAGTTCGAGATTCAGAGGAACATAAAATGTATATGCATTTGAAAAACTGTGAGACATATCAACTAACATTTCCCAACAATAAAACGTACGTTAAGGTAAGCAGAAGCCCTTGAATAATCTTGTACAGACGAGGGTGAAAGGAGTTCACTCCCTCAATCGAAATGATCTCACACGGCCACGCGCATACAGCCTCCGCCAGAGAAGTCCTACTCACCACCGTCTCGTGGCGGTGTTGTTTACGAAATTCAGAGGACGAAAAGAGAATGTCCGGAGCTTTAACCGGGCCAGTGGACACGCTGAGTCAATATAGGGGAGTTGGAAAACCCTCATTCCAAACCAATGGTGCATATGGGCTCCACTATCCTGAAGGAACAAACGGTATATGAACCAACATCTCCAAACCCTAATCTTCCCGATTACTGCTTATACTCTTATTACCTCTACCACTACGGGATTTGAATCGACAACTGCATCTCTGTGCTAATGTGGTGTGGCAACTCGAACTGATGTACGTACGTACGAAGTTCTACGTTGTTACTGACTGATATGAACCAATTGTTTGTCACTGGCTACCATGCAACTGCATCTCCTTACGATGCTACACCGCCTTGTAGGTCAGACCTTTAGGTCCAAAGGCTCGGGGTGTGGCCACCTAAGAAAACCACCTGCTTCGATCTGGGCACCCGGACAGTATCACAGTCGACACACACATAAAATGAAATGACGATACTTACTGAAAATACTATTTTCGCTTGGATTAAAAGTCAAACAATTCACATTATTATTTTTTTAACTACGTCACTTATTCACTCTCTTTTATTCCCACTTTGTGTAACCTATGGTAGGAACTCGATCCTATCTAAACGATCTCGAGTCACTGACTGGTTGAAAATTGAATGTTATCACCGAATACGAATACTGAAATAGTTTTTCTGAAACCACGTGCACCATTCAAACTGGCTGCCTTCAACGTTCGCACACTAATGCAGCTCAGACAACAGATAGGGCTGGCTATTTCCTTGGAAAGTCTCAATATCGATGTCTGCTGTCTATCCGGGACCCGTATTCAAGACTCTGGTGAAGTACTACAAATTCGCTCTCCATCTGTCACTTCGAAAAGCTTGTTTCAAGTGCGCTTATCCGGGGACCCTGTGGTATCTTCGTCTGGTCTTGCTGGCGTTGGTGTCATACTAAGCGCTAGAGCTGAGGCAGCACTAATCGATTGGATCCCCATTAACAGTCGCTTATTTGCTGTTAGATTAGACAGTTCCATCAAAGGGAGAAGAAATCGGCGTGAGAAACGATGTCTTTTCGTCATCTCCGCCTATGACCCGACAGATTGTAACCCGGATGCAATCAAGGATGAGTTTTACCACCAGTGATCTGTTCTTATCCAGAAAATGCGTTCGACAGATATTGTAGTACTACTAGCCGGAGACTTGAATGCTCAGGTCCGGCATCTAGGCACAGAAGAGAGTCGTTTAGGTGGCCGATGGGGACTCGTTGGTCGCAGGTCAGATAACGGGGACCGTCTACTACAACTGTGCACAGACCACAACCTGTTTCTGGCTAGCACTAACTTTCGGCACAGTCATCGCCGATGTGCTACCTGGCGTCCTTCCTCTGCATCTCAAGCCTGGACTCAGATTGATCACATCGCGATCAGCTACCGCTGGCGTGGTTGTGTGCAAGACTGTCGCTCCTTTTGGAGTACCCATCTGGACTCTGACCATGCTTTGGTCTGCGCCAATTATACCTTACTTTTCAGTGGCCAACGAAGTGACCGCCACCAACGGATTGATGTCAGCAAGCTGGTTGCAACTTCTGTTGCTAGTAAGTATCGAACCCAGCTAGCTTCTAGGCTAGATACCATTCCACCGAAAAGTATAGATGAGCATTGGTTGCAACTTCATGACTCCATCAAAATGGCGAGTAAAGCCGCTTGAAGCTCCGCGAAACGTCCCACTTGTAAAGACTGGGCTTCTCCAGGCTCCTTACAACTCAAGCCCGTCGGTCTAATCCTGGTGCCCGGAGCACGCTTCGACCACTAGGCTTCTCGGTCCTTACGCAAGCTTTGCCCGATTTCACTACGTAACATCTTTCGTTTGTGGACAAACTCACGGTTACCCGGACATTCTCTTTTCGTCCTTTGAATTTCGTAAATAACACCTCCACCACGAGGTGGTGAGTAGGACTTCTCTGGCAGAGGCTGAACACGCGTGGCCGTGTGAGATCATTTCGAGAGGGAAGGGTCTTGTTATGGATGCTGAGGAATAATGTGCCAATCATTATCATGTTAAGTCTAATGATGTCCTTGTACGTTAAATGAACATTTCCTATTGGCCATTATTTATTTCACTCGTTAAATATTGTACAGATGTTGTTTTCTATTTTTATGGTACGATGTGGTCTGTTTGGTTAGTATATAAACAGAGTATGTTTGAAATAAAACGATTCATAACTCAGAGGCTGTGACTTGCGTTCTAGACTCAACTGGCTGGGCTAGACAGGGAAGCGGGACCAATCAGAACCTTAGGCCGTTCACTACGTGTTTTCCGTGTCACCGAATCGATCGATACAAACGCTGCTTATCATAACCTGCAGTCCACCCGTTACAGCAGGTCTACCCACTCTCGGCCATGCCAATGCATTTGGAGTTATAGACATCTTAGTTCGGTTAAAAGGATTTTAGACTAATGGTAGCAAACTTAAGACGTGAATGTGGTGTCATACTGCCAAATGTACAGGGGATTTGCCTCATAAAGTTATTTACCTCGGACAAGCAGCATCCCTTTAGATACTACCTTTACGTAACCATGATAAGGCCTTTTTGAAGTACGGAGTTAACAGACTAAAAATTGGATACAAAAAGGTGGTGTGTGACAAAATGCAAGTTATATTTTGAACGCTTCCAGGTTGCCAAAACCACCCCTAAACCTGTTTCGTTATCAAGTACCTCAAAAAGAAATATTTCTTCATAACGTGTTCAGCTGAAAAATGACGAGTTCTCATATCTCAAAGAGGACTAGATACATTAGATTAATTTATAAGTGGTTTCAGTCAAGAATTGACATCAGCTGAAATACCGTTGGAAACAAGGGGACATTGGATACTTTTCTTCTATTGTGGGACTTCCCAACAATCTGCACTGACAACACGGCCAGCGGTCTATATCGAGACTTTCAGCTCTCACCGATGAGAGCGAATGTCGGGTTATATCATGGATTGATTTAAGTTGGAACTGAATCACTGAAATTCAGTTATGTGGTTTAAAAGTCAGAACCAGTTCACACCAATAACAGCTAGTGAAAAAGGGTGACTATCGAAAAGGTGTATATAAAAGTGAGCATTGAAATGAGAATAACGTTTTTAATGGTGTGAAATATGTTCGGTTTACCCTTTGCCCCTTGAGCTTCTAGTGAGATGCCGTAAAAAGCAGAGTTCAACCATGTTGAGTGTGAGCAAAGTACCTATCGAAGACAACGGAAGACTGTCACGCAATATCTTGAACTGACTGATGTTAGGAAATGTACACCACCAGATCCCAGATCAATGGTCTAAGGGTTGAGCGATTTACGTCCGTGACCAAAGGTCCTGGGTTCGATTTCCAGACGTGGGCCATGGATGCGCACTGCAAAGGAGTCCCATACTAGGACGAAAATAACCGTAAAGTGCTCCAAAATTTTCAATGGTTGTCTAACTTAGATTGATTTGTGATTTCAGTAAAATTCAACAATTTCCACAATGCTATACTGACAATATATTAAGCGTAAATAAAGAAGACAACAGTAAAAAGAAAAGGGAGAATATACAATACTTACTTTTGAGTTACCGGATGAACAAAATCCGATTGTTGCCTTCGATCAGAATAACAATCAACACTGTTATTATATTGTTCTGGCTTATCATTAACAATCCATTGTTTTAAATCACTATTTGCAATACGATTTAATTCAGTTACAATTGAATTATTATTATTATTATTATTATTGTCACATGAATTCATCTCATTATTTAGCGTATTTGATGAAATACCAATTATTGAATTTTCATTAGTGATTGATTGTATTGATGCATCAATCGAGTCCCTTTTTATCATCGATAAAGAACATCCACCACAACATGTCGGTCCACCAGGACCGCCTTGACATATTCCAAATTTTGGACAGTATTCTACTACAATACCATTATGTTCAATAATTTTATTTGGATTCATTGTAGTGATTTCATTTGTCTGTAAGATATACCATGTATTAGTGGAATACAGAATAATAATAAACAATTTGTCAGTACTATGATGGATATTCAACGTAGGTTTATATACTCATAAGGTACGTATATATATATATATATATATATATATATATATATATATATATATATATATATATAGAGAGAGAGAGAGAGAGAGAGAGGACTCGGTCTATGAGACTGTGGTTCTTGATAAACTGAGGTGGTTGATGGACAGGTATTACGCATAACCGACCGCCAGCTACCTCGAACCCGTAATGTTAGCAGTCATAAGAACAGATTAGAGGAAAATTAGGTTGAACCAACATATAAGATTGACATATGAAATCACTTACTATTGGTCTGAGCCTTGATAGTTGTTATAATTGATTGATTAACGAATAATGAGCAATGTCATTTAAATCAAGTCATTAATAGTTGTTGTACACTACTTGGTTGGGGTCCGCGCGATAAACGTGATCAGTGGTAGGAGAAGTTGTGATATTACTCAGGATCGGTTACAGTAGCATGGATGCATACATTATTTATTTTCGCTTAAGCATTTAGTTTTGATATTTTGTGTATTTTATTCCTTAAATTCATCTATTCTTTTCTAACTACATTTTTCAAGGTTTACTACTTCTCATTATCATTAGCACAACTGCTATTTCGATACTATTCCCATTTATCTTGTTAAACTCATTGTGTCGTATTACTGTGGAATACTAATTTGTACTCATGTACAAGTGAGTCAAATTCTACGTTGTTTACAACTAGTTCTATTACATTTAATCAACATTCAAGACCGGTGAAAAACATATTAGTTAGTTACTTACTAAATAATCAAAACTAGTGTACATTAGACTCGTACTCACAATTAATAGGATTGTATCAAATGAACTTATTATTGAGAAATATCTTAAGAATTACACTTAGATAGAAGAATAACACTTAATAATTATGAAAAAATAGTACATTTGTAGGTTATAATCATCACAGATTGATTTCAGTTGGGGTACCATTGAAAACTAGGGAGCACTGAACAGCTGTTTCGTCTTAGCACGAGACTCCACGATAGTACATACCCATGACCCACGCAGGTATCAAACCTAGGACTTCTGGACCTTGCAGCAAACGTTTAACTATTGGAACAATTAGGTAATACAGTGCGACCATCATCTAATACTATTAAGAACAACTGATTCACTCCCGATATTTCTGAACTCCATAAATTAAGACTTCTAGTGTTTTGCAATTTTTAATGGCACTCCAACTGAGTTCAATCTGAATCGAGTATAACCCATAAAAGTTCTTCAAATTGACTTAATGCACAACAACAACTAAGAGATAATTTAACAACTAACTTGTGAAGTAGTACTATTCATCTCTTCATTAATAGATTGATTTTGTTCCATTGATAAGTTGCTACTGTTATTATCCATCGATTGTGGTGGTGGTGGTGATTGTCTTAACCAACGTGATAAATCAATCGGTCCAGAATGAAAAATATGTTCAGGAAATAATGAATTCTTTGTTAAATTATCGATTTTTGATGAATCTATGCAGAGTGTAGACATTTCTTTATTAATTGATAAAGTTGTATTCTCTGGTATTAACCATGAAGATTTCACTGAACGTGTACTGTATTCACTGGTATTATTACTACCAACACTAGAGCCAATACTGCCATCATTACGACTAAGTTTTGTCGATAAACCAGGCATATCTCTTAATTCAGCCTAAGTTTTATAATAAAACACACAATTCTGAGTTATTATTTACTTCAACATTTTGAAAATCTCTAGACAACTAATTTGTCTACACAATCACATCGTCTTAGGAACAGACAATTATTGAAATGACAGAGCAAAAATTGACCATAATAGTTAGGGGTATTTATTTTATTAGTGAGTGAATAATCTGCAACTGTCAGACCTTTGAATCATTTGGTTATGTAATCAATATTTCATATATATGCCCCCAAATGCCCTGGTACGGTCGAGAGTGGGGAGTGTCCGCACTCTCTTTCCCGCCAAATGCTCTCACATGACCACGCGTATATAGCCTCTGCCAGAGAAGTCCTACTCACTGCCTTCTCATGACGGGGGTGTTGTTTACGAAATTCAGAGGACGAAAAGTGGATGTCTGGAGCTTTAACCGGGTTGATGGACATGGAGGGTCAATATACGGTAGTTGGAAAACCCTCATTCCAAACCAATGGTGCACATGGGCTGGCTCCACTATCCTGAAGGAACAAATGGTGTATGAACCAATCGTTGGTCACCGGCTTCCATGGGACTGCATCTTCTTACGATGCTCAACTGCTTTGTGGATCAGACCTTCAGGTCAAAGGCTCCGGATGTGGCCCCCCTAAGAAAACCATCTGCTTCAGTTTGGGCACCCGGACAGTATCACAGCCCTCACACATATTAAATGAGATCTGTGTGGCGCATATGTAATTGGTGCCTCCTTGTACCTATGTGACTTTCTTCTTCTTCATTTCATATATATAAGCATGTTATTTTGTTAGAAGGAAAAATCCCTCTTTCTGAGCAATGGTTTTATCTTTTATATCAGTTTGATCTCAATAGTCTAAGTTAATGTGATCTGGTTGTTACGTGAGCAGATATCACTCGGTCAGGTTCCATTCATTAATCTAACAATCAATGGAAAATTCTTATTATACTAAAATACAGATATATGAAAGAAGAACATTCTTTTCAAGTACGCTACAATTATGTAACCAAATGTATAATCGAAAAATTGGTCAGATTTAAGATAAAATACATAGTTTATAATGTGAATTTAGGATTGTTTGTAATATATCAATTAAATAAAATCATTAATATTGAAATGATTAATATAAAGTGTTGACTTAAATGAATGTCAATCTAATGCTATACGCCTACCAACGACTACAATGAAGATGTTGAAGATCAATTCTATGATAAGTTGCAGTCAATCGTTGAGAAATGCCCAACAAAGGACTTGACCATTCCTGATGGAAGACCTAAATACCAAGGTTGAAATGAAGAACACCGGATATGAAGACATCATGAGACGACATGGATATGAGAAGAATGAACAATAATTGGATAGAACTAGAAAGAAAGGCCCAGGACAGAGTGGGTTGGGAAATGCTGGTTTAAAATGTGGAAATTATAAATGGATTACAAACAATCCACTTGTGTATAACTGAATTACAAATGGATGAATGCTAAGATTAAATAACAATTTTGGTGGTGTTTTGTTCTCTGAGCTGGATGGTTTGGTCGTGGAGCTTTCATCGTTCTTCTGAACGACATCATCAGCACAAACTTCAGATAGAAGTCAATTCCTATGTGTATAAAAGTTAATATAATCGACAAACTTTCGAATATGTACTGATTAGATTAACTAAGACATATATACATATTGTTCCAACCGTGTACAAGCTTACATACACTACAAGATATTACATAATAATAATCCATGACGGAAAAAAAGGGATCTGAATAGTTGAAAAGGGGACTGGCACACAAACTTACCGGATCACAGAATAACCAATCTTTTAAACTGGACATATTTTGAGATGAATTTGTCAAAATGTCAAAGCTTTCCGAAGTAGATTTATCTAAATAAGATAGATAGATGGTATGTAAATATTTAAATGTAGTGAAAGTGACTAGTCGATTTAAAGTAATACGGTTGTTAAAGAAAACTCAAAAAATTTCTCGTTAGAATAATTAAAACTAATTATCGATTGGATACTAATTAATATTATTTTCTAGTTGAAAAGGTTTTGCGGAGATTAGTTCAGTGTGTGTGTGCTGTACTCATCACAAAGTGACCTCAGCTAGAGAAGAACCATCGAAAACCAGAGATCATTAGACACTTTCTTTGTTTTAGTATGAAACCCATTACCTCACTAATGATTTCAAGGTGCTTCTCAACATCTAATGAGAATTTGTGACTGGTGGAGTTCAGGCATGTCGAGAGTGAAACAACGATCATTAATGTTATTGCAAATTGAATAAAGTTGAAACTGTACCACCGGACACCGACCCAGTTGTTCCAATGATTAAATATTTACAGCTAAACCAGAAGGTTTTGGGTTCAATTTCAGGCAGGACTATAGGAGCGCATTGTTGAGGTGTCCTATACCAGGACGAAACAGTCATCCAGTGGCTCCCTGATTTCCAATGTTGTTTCAATTGAGACCAATCTGTGACGAACATAGCGTATATTATCATGTATATGTAGTGCAGGATAATGTCCATATATTCGATATTGTAACACGCACTTTAATGTTGATTGAGTCGTGGTTACTACTGTTATGAGAATAAACTTCTAACAACCGCATTATTTAATGTAAGACAAGAAATCTAAACACATTGATGAATCTATGTTTGATCAATCAGTTCTAGTAGACAAATTAAGAAGATATCTCTATTATCCCTAATGTAAATTTTGTATAAACTTTTGTTTCAACTCTCTTGTATCCAATCCATTCTTATCCTAACTTACATCAAGTAGACTTAAGTGTAATGTAGTGAAAGTAATATTACATAAGGAAGAATTTACAAGTTACAGATAGATTTTATTGATAATGCAACTAACAAACAATCGTCTAACGTCAATCGAAATTGACTTTAAAATCAAGGTTCACTGGTTTTTACTACTTTGTATCAGAGATGATGATAATAATAATGATAATAATCAGGTCTGACAATTCTGAATATTAATGTTCTAAGCAGTAAATCGAAGATGATATATCATGAATTACCAACTTTTCTCAAGCTACTCCCAGTTTGGTCAATTGATGAACTAAAGTGTGAAGTTAATGATTACAGTTTTTCCGATTATGTTAACAGTGGAATAAGAAACTCTTCATAAAGAATAATCATATCCATTGTGTTATATAAACAAAAATCTAGACGGAAAAATAATGAATTTTATTCGCTGTATTTGTATACAGAATACATTGAACAGAAAATGAAATATGGTTAATCAGCATCTTGATATGACATAAAGAGACGAATCTAATTACCAGTTCAACATTTTCTAGTATAGGGGTTGTGGAGATTATTAAGTTGCTCACTAGTGACTAGCTTCGTGAGGGAATTCTCGGAGTTCTAGTGAGAAGCCGTGACCAGTGGAGCTAATCCTTGTCGGGTAGAGACAGGTATCTACCTCAGTACAATGGAAGTTGGTCGCGCAATTTCGTGGATTGGTTGATGTTAGAAACTATCACCATTGGATGCCGGCTCAGTGGTCCAGTTGGTTAAGTGTTCGCGCGCGAGACCGAAGGCCCTGGGTTCGAATCCCGCTAGCGGGATCGTGGATGCGCACTGCTGAGAAGTCCCACAATAGGACGAAACGGCCGTCCAGTGCTTCCAGGTTTTCAATTGTGATGGTCTAACATTAATCGGTTCATGATCTCAATCAAAAACTCAACATTTTCTACTTACTGTAGCTTATTTATTAAGTACAGGTCTATGTACTCATTTTTTCAACTGCATACATCAATTATATATGGGGATTTGTGATGAGATTCGATTGCCCAAATAGAAGTAGACAGAGTAGGGTTTTAGCTTAAAACTTATGTTAGAAACCGATTCCCTTGACCACTATAAGGTACCTTTCTATTAAGGAGACTTCTTATTGATTATCACTTTTAAAACATTACAACGAGAGGTATTATTCTCCTAATAATATTAGTTCATACACATTCGGAGATAAAACAGAATTCTGAATCCTCAAGGCTGAATAGCTCGTTGGTAAATGTATTATAGATGTAAGATAATTGAAGTAATAGATACATTACAATTTCATTGATACGATCCAACGAGTGCTAAGCACTAGGAAAAAAATAACATTGGTCAATCCTTGTTCAATGATCAATCTAAGTGAATTTATCAATGAACAAATTAACTCCCAGGTTACAAACAGATATATATAACCAGTGAGTAATAGCAAGTGCGAAATACACATTGAAGAACACTATATCGAATACTAAATGCATACAGGTCTTAAAATCTAATAAGTGAATTTTAGCAAATCAGTACGCCATAATAAACAATTAACGAACTTTGTTTTAAATTAGAGGGCTTTAAGCTATTATTCAATCCGTATAATTCTCCTTTATGATAAGATGTAGATTCTACTGTCAGTGGTTGACTATCATCTCGTAATTCAAGCCATGTACGGACAAGTGTCGAGTGTGGCTGACAATATGGTACACGTACAGCTGCTGATTGTGAAATACTGGATTCGAAATTATCTTGTACTGATCCTTTTTCCTACAAAGAAATTATTTAAAGTGTTAATCAGGGTTAAAATTGTAAAAACAAGTTTCAACGAGTAATTAGTTTCATGTTAAATGAATAAAAAAACGTAAGAAGTTAATGGAACATCTGTACGACCAACTCTAAAATAAAGTATCGTTTATGAAACGTAACAAGTTCATATTTGTGCAGCGAGTTGAGAGCTTGACTTATGTTTCATGGAAACTACCGAGTTGAGGTCAAGTCAGTCAGCTACAACGTGGGACCAGGCACATATATGCATCGGTCCAAGTTGCCATACCTTATTGGCACAACAAGACCAACACTACATTCATAGGAATAGTTAATTCAGTTGTGGTAATATATAAAACGAAGGTTGCATACAAAAATATAGCACAGGAACAAATATTTGGTACGTAGAAAGAAAGATATGAAGCGATTTTGTGCTCTTAGTTTAAGGGAAGATAGAGAGTGTATAAACCGACGCCATTGTGACCGATGCCCCCAAATGCCCTGGTACGGCCGAGAGTGTGGAGAGTCCGCTCTCCTCTCGGAATACTCACACACGGCCAGGCGTATACAGCCTCTGCCAGGGAAGTCCTACTCACTGCCTTTTCGAGGCTGGGGTATTTACGAAAATGAGAGGAGGAAAAGCGAACGTCCGGCGCTTTAACCGGATCCCAAACCAATGGTGCACATGAGCTACAGTATCCTACGGGAACAAATGACGTATGAACCAATCGTTGGTCACCGGCAACCATGGGACTACACCTCCTCAAGATGCTCCATTGCCTTGTAGGTTAGACCTATAGGTCAAAGGCTCGAGATGTGGCCCCCAAATTTATTTATTTATTTTATTAATTTGAACACATAAATATTGGTACAAGAGAGCGCCAATATATATGCGCCACACAAAACAATGAGAATTCGAAGAGAAAGAAAAAAAAAGGTAAGGAGTGTAAAAAAGCAGAGAACAATAACGAAGAGGTTGGTGTAAGGTAGTGTAGTAATAATGAGGGAACGGAAAGGTACAATCAGAAGAAATCTTTCAGTTAAGGGAGACACAACCACTTTTTATGAAGAAAGTAAAAGAAGGTTACAGTAGCATCGACACTAGCTTCTATTCTGAGCCATATCTGATAACGTCTCTAGCCACTGTGTAGCACCATCTCTCGGACCCCAACCACGGAGTCGTGAAGGACCAACAGAAGCCAGTCCCTTACAGATTTCCTTCACGCCACGACACCATGTCATGCACTGACCACCTCTCCGCTTCTTCCAACCAGTCCCAGAGTCGGCAAATAATGCACGACGTGGAATTCTCTGGGACGACATTCGTAGAACATATCCAAGCCACCGAAGTCGGTGTCTCAAGATGGTGACATCGATTGCATTATCATCTCTGTGCCCGAACACACGATGCCGAACCTCTGCATTACTGACATGGTGTTGCCACTGGATGTCAGCAATCCTTCGGAGACAGCGATGATCGAACACAGAGAGTCTTCTAACGTCCTCAACTCGGAGAGGCTAGGTTTCACAAGCATAGAGTAAAACTGCTCTCACCGACGCGCTGTAGATCCGACCTTTTACAGCCAGACTAACATCACGAAGGCGCCAAAGGTGGCTCAGATTGGCATAAGCCGCTCTGGCTTTCACTATACGTGCATTGATTTCATCATTCACACCCCCACCAGCACTTATGCAGCTACCCAGATACACGAACTTCTCGACTATTTCTATCTGCTCACCATCCAGGGTGAGTACAGGATTAGAATCCTGCCAGTCTTGTAGAAGTACTTTGCACTTCGAAGGTGCAAAGTACATACCATACCTACGGACACTGATTGCCAACTGATTAAGTGCGGATTACATGCCTTGGGCATTATCGCACAGTAAGACAATATCATCCGCATACTCAAGGTCGAGAAGTCTTTCTTCAGGCAACAAATCCACACCACCATTACTTACATCCATCAGAGCTGTTTCCAGAATGTCATCGATGGCAAAGTTGGAGAGGAATGGTGAGATTGGGCAACCCTGCCTAACCCCATTGCTCTAATAGAACAATGGAGAGAGGTGGTTGTATGCCCTCACTCTGCCTGAGGTGTTTGTATATAGGGCTTTTAGGATGTTAATAAACTTCTCAGGCACATCCTTCCTCAATAGACAATCCCAGAGAACAGTCCTATCCAACGAATCGAAGGTAGCCCTGATGTCAAGAAACACTACGATTGTTGGCCTTTGATAAGTATGGCGGGCGGTGTTCTAACGTTTGGCGGGAGGTGAAGATATTATCAATACATCCTCGACCAGAACGAAACCCAGCCTGCTCCTCGCGAGTCAATCTTTCTCGGGTTTTGAACAACCTACGAAGTATGACGGAAGCCAATAGCTTGGACGCAATCGGAAGTAGACTTATCCCCCGATAGTTGTTACAGGAACGACGTGAACCCTTTTTAAAGATAGGGACAACTATCGACTCATTCCATGACGTTGGCACACTCTCTAGTTCGCAAACCTTTGTAAACAACATCGTCAATTCCTTAGTCAGAAAGTCACCATCATCTTTAAAAAGAGCCGGAGGTAAGTCATCTGGGCCAGGTGATTTGTAACGCTTCAAGAGTTGGAGTTCCTTGCGGACTTCCGCCCCATTTGGTGGATCAGTCGTCACCGGCCATGGAGGGCAGGACAGTCTGACCGATGTTGCCGGAGCAGCAGGCCAGTTGAACTGCCCTTCGAAAAATTCTGCCCATCGTCCAAGACGTCGATGGATGTTAGTGATTGGCATCCCATCATCCTCGCAGATTGTTTCGCTCACACCAGACTTCTTGCTGCCAGTGGCTCGGATGAGTTGGAAGAGCTTCCGGTAATTGCCAGATGCAGCTGCTGCTTCCAACTCATTAGCACGCTTCGACCACCAGACTTCTCGGTCCTTACGCAAGCTTTGCCCAATTTCCTTACGTAACATCCTTCGTTTGTGGTCAAACTCACGGTCACCCGGAGTAGACCGACGGGCTTCAATGAGTTGTAAGGAACCTGAAGAAACCCAGTACTTATAAGCGGGACGTTTCGCGAACCCACAACTGACTGTACCCGCCATTTTCATGGCGTCATGCAATTGCGACCAATGCTCATCTATACTTTTCGGTGGAATTGTATCTAGCCTAGAAACTAGCTCGGTCCGATACTTACTAGCAACAGAAGTTGCAACCAGCTTGCTGACATCAATCCGTTGGTGGCGGTCACTTCGTTGTCCACTGAAAAGTAAGGTAAGATTGGCGCAGACCAAAGCATGGTCAGAGTCCAGATGGGTACTCCAAAAGGAGCGACAGTCTTGTACACAACCACGCCAGTGGTAGCTGGTCGCGATGTGATCAATCTGAGTCCAGGCTTGAGATGCAGAGGGAGGACGCCAGGTGGCACATCGGCGATGACTGTGCCGAAAGTTAGTGCTAGCCAGAAACAGGTTGTGGTCTGTGCACAGTTGCAGTAGACGGTCCCCCTTATCTGACCTGCGACCAACGAGTCCCCATCGGTCACCTAAACGACTCTCTTCTGTGCCTAGACGCCCGACCTGAGCATTCAAGTCTCCGGCTAGTAGTACTACAATATCTGTCGAACGTACTTTCTGGAGAAGAACAGATAACTGGTGGTAAAACTCATCCTTGATTGCATCCGAGCTGCAATCTGTCGGGGCATAGGCGGAGATGACGAAAAGACATCGTTTCTCACGCCGATTTCTTCTCACTTTGATGGGACTTTCTAATCTAACAGCAAATAACGGAGTGTTAATGAGGATCCAATCGATAAGTGCATATCATGAGACCCTGTGGCATCTTCGTCTGGTCTTGCTGGCGTTGGTGTCATACTAAGCGGTAGAGTTGAGGCAGCACTTATCGATCGGATCCCCATTAACACTCGGTTATTTGCTGTTAGATTAGAAACTTCCATCAAAGTGAGAAGAAATCGGCGTGAGAAACGATGTCTTTTCGTCATCTCCGCCTATGCCCCGACAGATTGCAGCTCGGATGCAATCAAGGATGAGTTTTACCACCAGTTATCTGTTCTTCTCCAGAAAGTACGTTCGACAGATATTGTAGTACTACTAGCCGGAGACTTGAATGCTCAGGTCGGGCGTCTAGGCACAGAAGAGAGTCGTTTAGGTGACCGATGGGGACTCGTTGGTCGCAGGTCAGATAATGGGGACCGTCTACTGCAACTGTGCACAGACCACAACCTGTTTCTGGCTAGCACTAACTTTCGGCACAGTCATCGCCGATGTGCCACCTGGCGTCCTCCCTCTGCATCTCAAGCCTGGACTCAGATTGATCACATCGCGACCAGCTACCACTGGCGTGGTTGTGTACAAGACTGTCGCTCCTTTTGGAGTACCCATCTGGACTCTGACCATGCTTTGGTCTGCGCCAATCTTACCTTACTTTTCAGTGGACAACGAAGTGACCGCCACCAACGGATTGATGTCAGCAAGCTGGTTGCAACTTCTGTTGCTAGTAAGTATCGGACCGAGCTAGTTTCTAGGCTAGATACAATTCCACCGAAAAGTGTAGATGAGCATTGGTCGCAATTGCATGACGCCATGAAAATGGCGGGTACAGTCAGTTGTGGGTTCGCGAAACGTCCCGCTTATAAGTACTGGGTTTCTTCAGGTTCCTTACAACTCATTGAAGCCCGTCGGTCTACTCCGGGTGACCGTGAGTTTGACCACAAACGAAGGATGTTACGTAAGGAAATTGGGCAAAGCTTGCGTAAGGACCGAGAAGTCTGGTGGTCGAAGCGTGCTAATGAGTTGGAAGCAGCAGCTGCATCTGGCAATTACCGGAAGCTCTTCCAACTCATCCGAGCCACTGGCAGCAAGAAGTCTGGTGTGAGCGAAACAATCTGCGAGGATGATGGGATGCCAATCACTAACATCCATCGACGTCTTGGACGATGGGCAGAATTTTTCGAAGGGCAGTTCAACTGGCCTGCTGCTCCGGCAACATCGGTCAGACTGTCCTGCCCTCCATGGCCGGTGACGACTGATCCACCAAATGGGGCGGAAGTCCGCAAGGAACTCCAACTCTTGAAGCGTTACAAATCACCTGGCCCAGATGACTTACCTCCGGCTCTTTTTAAAGATGATGGTGACTTTCTGACTAAGGAATTGACGATGTTGTTTACAAAGGTTTGCGAACTAGAGAGTGTGCCAACGTCATGGAATGAGTCGATAGTTGTCCCTATCTTTAAAAAGGGTTCACGTCGTTCCTGTAACAACTATCGGGGGATAAGTCTACTTCCGATTGCGTCCAAGCTATTGGCTTCCGTCATACTTCGTAGGTTGTTCAAAACCCGAGAAAGATTGACTCGCGAGGAGCAGGCTGGGTTTCGTTCTGGTCGAGGATGTATTGATAATATCTTCACCTCCCGCCAAACGTTAGAACACCGCCCGCCATACTTATCAAAGGCCAACAATCGTAGTGTTTCTTGACATCAGGGCTACCTTCGATTCGTTGGATAGGACTGTTCTCTGGGATTGTCTATTGAGGAAGGATGTGCCTGAGAAGTTTATTAACATCCTAAAAGCCCTATATACAAACACCTCAGGCAGAGTGAGGGCATACAACCACCTCTCTCCATTGTTCTATTAGAGCAATGGGGTTAGGCAGGGTTGCCCAATCTCACCATTCCTCTCCAACTTTGCCATCGATGACATTCTGGAAACAGCTCTGATGGATGTAAGTAATGGTGGTGTGGATTTGTTGCCTGAAGAAAGACTTCTCGACCTTGAGTATGCGGATGATATTGTCTTACTGTGCGATAATGCCCAAGGCATGTAATCCGCACTTAATCAGTTGGCAATCAGTGTCCGTAGGTATGGTATGTACTTTGCACCTTCGAAGTGCAAAGTACTTCTACAAGACTGGCAGGATTCTAATCCTGTACTCACCCTGGATGGTGAGCAGATAGAAATAGTCGAGAAGTTCGTGTATCTGGGTAGCTGCATAAGTGCTGGTGGGGGTGTGAATGATGAAATCAATGCACGTATAGTGAAAGCCAGAGCGGCTTATGCCAATCTGAGCCACCTTTGGCGCCTTCGTGATGTTAGTCTGGCTGTAAAAGGTCGGATCTACAGCGCGTCGGTGAGAGCAGTTTTACTCTATGCTTGTGAAACCTAGCCTCTCCGAGTTGAGGACGTTAGAAGACTCTCTGTGTTCGATCATCGCTGTCTCCGAAGGATTGCTGACATCCAGTGGCAACACCATGTCAGTAATGCAGAGGTTCGGCATCGTGTGTTCGGGCACAGAGATGATAATGCAATCGATGTCACCATCTTGAGACACCGACTTCGGTGGCTTGGATATGTTCTACGAATGTCGTCCCAGAGAATTCCACGTCGTGCATTATTTGCCGACTCTGGGACTGGTTGGAAGAAGCGGAGAGGTGGTCAGTGCATGACATGGTGTCGTGGCATGAAGGAAATCTGTAAAGGACTGGCTTCTGTTGGTCCTTCACGACTCCGTGGTTGGGGTCCGAGAGATGGTGCTACACAGTGGCTAGAGACGTTATCAGATATGGCTCAGAATAGAAGCCAGTGTCGATGCTGCTGTAACCTTCTTTTACTTTCTTCATAAAAAGTGGTTGTGTCTCCCTTAACTGAAAGATTTCTTCTGATTGTACCTTTCCGTTCCCTCATTATTACTACACTACCTTACACCAACCTCTTCGTTATTGTTCTCTGCTTTTTTACACTCCTTACCTTTTTTTTTCTTTCTCTTCGAATTCTCATTGTTTTGTGTGGCGCATATATATTGGCGCTCTCTTGTACCAATATTTATGTGTTCAAATAAATAATAAATAAATAAATAAATTGTGATTGATTCTGAGCCATGTCACCAAGAGTCTCCAACCATTGGTTACGATAGTCGTGCGGACCCCAACCAAGCGGTCTGCATCTACCAACATGGCTCAGACCAGATATTAGTGTCTTCAAGCACTGATGCCACGATTTTGGTTTGGCCGCCCTATCCATGCGATTATCGCAACCAATATTTGAAGAATTTAGGTGTCACTGCTTAGAATTGGTTACAATGATGTAGATTCAATTCAGTCTTTGTCTTCCCTTAGATCTTGGTTTTCAACATTGCTTTCTACCTTTTTATTCCATAAATTCATTCTTCTCGAATCATATTGTCCACCTGTAACCCTTCTGGGGTTACTGCCGGTTCCAAGCTCGGATAAAGGAGGAGGGTTTGGCACGGGGTTGACAACCCCATCCCGTAGAAAACAACCTGAATAAGAAAACCTAACCAGAAAAGAGACATTTAAATCACCCCTAATCTTTTATATTACTGATGATGATGTTACTAATTTCATCACTCTAAGATTTGTGTTGATAATTTCATCTCACTGTGCTGTTCTGGTATGGAATATTGAAGTGATGCATATATATATATGAGAAGTCTTTATGTTGTTTATGACTCACTAAAATCAAGAATGTTACAAAACACTTACAGATAATTTACTCAACCAGAAATAATCATTTTTTGAAGTGAAACTCATCCCATCCTCTTCTTCTTTCATTGTATCTATATTACTCAAAGAATCGGATGAAGTTCTTCGTTTGCATTTATGTTCTGTTAATGATAACCATTTTTTTAATGTTGGATCATTGCATATACATAATGGTTGGACACGATTGAATACAGTAGAAGAAAGAGTTGAATTCCCAATTCTTATCTGTTCTTCTTCTTCAAATAATTGCGGTAAACATACTGAAGGTTTATTTGGATCAGCAAAGTGACCAGGATATCTAGATGCAAGTCGACCAAATGTTGAAATAATTTCATTTAATTGTATATTCTCAATATGGAAAGCAATAAATGGTGTTAAATCTGATGTTAAATTAATTGATTCAGCTCGTCTAACATAATCACCAATTTTTGTATCGATTTCATTTCTGGTAACACATGATTGTAATAAAACACTTCTTAAGGATTCAACTGTTTGTTTATTACTATTAAGTAGATGTAGGAAAAACAAAAATAAGCATTTAGATATAAATGAAAAATGGAAATAACCTTTCAATGAGGATAGATTTCTCTTTGGCAATATTATGCAATTGAATAAGTAGATTTGATTGTCGTTTACTTAATAATTCTATTAAATTTTTAAAATTTGCTCTTATTTCAAATTCAGCATTTAAAACATTTTGATCGAGTAATGGTTTATAATTAACAAGTCGTTGATAAAGATGATCCAATCGTTCAACAGCATCTTTTATTCTTGGTTCCATTTTTAATTAAGCCTATAACTGGAAAAAAAAACAAAATGGATAAGTAGTATTTTGTTTGACAAACTACTCAATGTAACTGGCATAAAATTTAAAAGTAATAAATATTGTAAAAAGTAAAAAAGAATAAAGAGAGGTAAGTTGGTGGTGTACAAGAATTCATGTTATTTGACACTTCTTAGACCAGTTAAGAATGATGTCATTCAGTAACCAAGTATAGATTTGTGTACTCCACTTTAGGCCACTTTATTTATGTAACGCCTATCGACACCCCATATCAACTCGTCTGCCAGGTACAAATTCGTAGGCTTGGTTTCTAATCGGACTCTAGGCATGAAGACCAGTGATAATACTTAATCACCCAAACAGAAGTAGGTGAAGCGGAGTCTACACCTGTAACTTTATGGTTGGAAGTCGAACGCCTTAACCAATGAGTCACCACTCCATGATACTTCCACCAAGCTGCTTAAACTTGATTGGTAGTGAGGTTCAACCAGGAAAATCCTATTTGATAGAACCCCACCAGAAAATTATGGCAAAACTTATTAATTGAACCAAGTAGCTACACATTACATACAGCACGGCAAGGAAGTGGATTAGCACAAGCTGTAATTCTAGGTCGAAGCTGCTACCTTGACGCGGTGGTCGGGCTTGCCTATCGTGATGACCCAACCGAGCTATATTGGCTGGAACATATGTTCCTGCAGGTTCTACCATGCCAGGCAGGTCGATTGGCGAACGGTAAGACTAAAAGCAGCAACTCAAGGTCTGAGGGCGAAGTCGTACTGCTGACTGTAGAGAGGTGTGACAGCAGTAAGGTGTTTCCCTCGGACAACCAGCATGACAGCGATGCTGCCTTCCCACAAGGAGGGGTGGGGTTAGAAAAGGTCGACCCTAAAAATGCACACCTCACCTTACCTCACGGATTTCCGTCTCCGGCGGTAAGGCCCCTTGAAGAACGGAGCTAACACGTCAAAAACCTTCCACAAAAAGGCCGTGCGCGACCGGCCTCAAGCAGTTGTCCCTTGGGCTCTGCGGTCACGCTCCCAGGTCGTCAAGACCAACACTAATCCAATTTCCTTTTCAGGTTCATCAAGAAATACCCTTCCACGGTGTGGGCAGCCGGGAAGTGACATCAGCCCTCATACCCGTAACAGCACGCGAGACCAAGGTGGTCACATTCAAATCCTTCCTACACCTCCTAATACCTCTCTTATCCTCCCGACTAACCCTCCTCACGTCTCTTTATCACCTCGCACCGCTAGGGCAAACGATTCGAGTACGTGGAACGCCATTCCTGGTCTCCTGAAACCACACTCTAAACTGCACGTAGGAGCTTTTAACGTACGAACACTGTGCCAAATAGGACAGCAGGCTTCCTTAGCTAGGACTTTAGAATCTCGCGCCATCGATGTGTGCTGCGTCTCCGAAACGCGCATACAAGACCCGAGTAGCGTCATTCATTTGACCTCACCATGCCAAAATAAAGAACCGACTCGATTTACGCTTCGTGTATCTGGAAGCCCTGATTCTGCTTCCCGTGGCCTCGCCGGCGTAGGTATAGCATTGAGTCCTAGGGCAGAACTAGCTCTCTTAGAGTGGATCCCAGTAAACAGTCGTTTGTGCGCTGTCCGACTGAACGGAACAGTAAGAATCCGGAAAGATAGGGACACTCGTCGTTGCCTCTTCGTCGTCTCTGCCTATTCTCCCACTGACTGCAGCTCAGATGATGTAAAAGATGAGTTTTACAGAAAGCTTTCGGACCTTCTCCGAAAAGCTAAGCGCTCGGATGTAGTAATAGTGGCCGGTGACTTTAATGCTCAAGTAGGTAAACTAAGCGATAAGGAAAGACACCTAGGTGGATCCTATGGTGTCGTGGCTCAAAGAACAGATAATGGCGACCGTCTGTTGCAGCTATGCTCAGATAACCGCCTGTTCCTTGTAAATACTAACTTTAAGCATAAGGAAAAACATCTTTTAACATGGCGACCCCCTAATTCGTCCCAACGTTGGACCCAAATAGATCACATCGCTATCAGCCACCGATGGAGGGGCTCGATAGAAGACTGTCGCTCATTCTGGAGCACATGCCTAGATTCAGATCATGCTCTAGTGCGAGCGCGTATTTGCTTGCGTCTTACTGGACGTAGGAAAGATCCTGCAAGGAAACCTCTTAGGGCCCTACTTAATGATAGTCAAGCTAAGAATATATTTCAGGAACAACTAGGAAAACAGTTAGGCAGCCATGTATGTGATGCCCACCCCGAGGCAGCATGGAACGATATCCGAAAAGCTGTGGAAACAGCAGTGATATCTGCTAGTAAGGTAAACCGTAAAATTAGGGAGCAACACTGGATCTCAGCAGCATCTATCGCACTGATAGATACTCGAAAACTCATTCCACCTGGCTCTGAACATAATGAAGAGCGGAGTCAGCTTAAGCGCAAGCTGACAAGAAGTCTACGCAATGATCGCGAACAGTGGTGGGTAGCGAAAGCAAGAGAGATGGAAAAGGCAGCGGCAATAGGTAATAGCAGACAATTGTTTAGACTCGTTAAGGAAACCGGAATTAGGAACCCGACCGTTAGCGAAACAATCTCAGAGAAAGATGGACATATTATTCATTCTCAATCCAGGAGATTGGATCGATGGGCAGAACACTTTAGGGATCAGTTCAACTGGCCTTCAGCCACACTTCGGTTTCCCACGATCTCCAGTCAACCTGAATGGCAAGTTAATGTAAGTCCTCCGTCCCTTTACGAAGTTGAAAAAGCCATAGGAAATCTGAAACGAGGGAGAGCAGCAGGCCCTGACAGGTTTACTCCTGAGATTTTTAAAGATGGTGGTCCAGTATTAGCAGCAAGATTAACTGAGGTCTTAGGTAGAATTTGGGAACTGGACGTAATCCCATCTGACTGGTCTCAATCACTGATTGTGCCAGTTTTTAAGAAAGGACAAAAGTCCTCCTGTGACAATCACAGAGGAATCAGTTTGACTAATATAGTGTCTAAAATATTAGCTTCAATAATACTTCGACGCCTAACTAAAGCTCGTGAAGAGCAGACTAGAGAAAACCAGGCTGGTTTTCGACCTGGACGTGGTTGTATAGATCAGATATTCACACTACGTCAGGTTCTAGAACAGAGACACACATTCAGACGCCCCACAATGGTAGTATTTCTCGACCTTAAGGCGGCATTCGACTCCGTTGATCGTGAGGTTCTATGGCAGTGTTTGTCACTGAAAGGAGTACCAAAGAAGTACATTAACCTTATAAAGGCTCTCTACTCGAACACAACTGGTCGAGTGAGAGCTTATGGCGAACTGTCATCAGAATTGATCACCTCAAGTGGTGTTCGTCAGGGCTGTCCACTCTCCCCATTCTTGTTCAACTTTGTCATTGACATACTTTTAGAGATAACACTCTCCTCATCTAAATTTACAGGGGTTGAACTTCTACCAGGAGGTTCACTTGTTGACTTAGAATATGCAGATGACATAGTTTTATTTGGTGAAGACGCTGACAAAATGCAGAGTCTTCTGACCACTCTAAGCAACAATGCAAGCATGTTCGGGATGCGATTCTCTCCCTCGAAATGCAAAATGTTGCTTCAGGATTGGGTTACATCGACACCCGAACTAGTGATAGGGAGTGAAGTAGTTGAGTGTGTCGACCGCTTCACTTATCTTGGAAGTCTTATCAGCCCTTGTGGTTTGGTGTGTGACGAAATCTCAGCACGGATACAGAAGGCTCGACTAGCTTTTGCCAACTTGCGTCATTTATGGCGTAGGCGAGATATCCGTCTATCAACCAAAGGACGTGTTTACTGCGCAGCAGTTCGTTCCGTCCTACTTTATGGCAGTGAAACATGGCCGATAAGAGTAGAGGATATCCGTAGGTTACTAGTATTCGATCATAGGTGTCTTCGAAACATTGCTCGTATATCCTGGGACCATCGAGTAAGTAACACAGTTGTTAGGAAACGGGTACTAGGTAAGGATGGCAAATCAATTGATGACGTAGTGAAACTTCATCAGTTAAGATGGCTGGGACACGTGTTACGTATGCCCAACGACCGACTGCCTCGACGTGCTATGTTCAGTGGTATAGGAGTAGGTTGGAAGAAAGCTAGGGGCGGCCAAACCAAAACATGGCACAAGTCCATGAAGTCACTGACAAGTGAACTGAGTCATGTTGGTAGGTGTAGACTACCTGGTTGGGGACCGCGAGATGACAGCAACCGATGGTTAGAGACCCTGAATGACATGGCTCAAAATCGTTTGCAATGGCGCAGGTGCATCCACTCTCTGTGTTCTCCAAAACTCTAATCTTCTGAATTCTTCATGTCCCTTTTTCCCTCTTTCCAAATTTCTTTCACTGGATTATACTCTTTAAATAACATCTCCAATCCCTAATCTTCCCGATTACTGCTTATACTCTTGCTACCTCTACCACTACGGGATTTGAATCGACCACTGCATCTCTGTGCTAATGTGGTGTGGCAACTCGAACTGATGTACGTACGTACGAAGTTCTACGTTGTTACTGACTGACTGACTAGGTTAGTATGACAAGAATAACAAGAATAGTGGATGAGTTGAAATAACAATAATGCCTATGAACATGAGGAAGACAAGAGCATTTAAGAATCTGATTAAAAAAGAAGTCATTTTACTCAACATTTCCAACCACTAATCACAATTACCACGCGAACCCTAACCAAGTAGACTGAAATTTCCAATATGACAAACCAACAGTAAATGGCTCCAGTCAGCCATACGTAAAGTAGAACCTGGCAAACATGTGTATCGTTTTGAGTTCCAATACCATACTTGCACAGCGAAATGAAATTACAGAGACGAACAGCACATTAACAGGAGTACCAACAGCATCAGTAGTTATAGAAAATGATAGGTATAGACGATATGATCCAAAAAGAATAAGTTCGTGAATTAAAAAGAAAAGTGTGAGATAATTTAGAAAATCAGGATCCAAAGAGAGACAAATAGTGAATTTATCTGCACCGTTGGGACCGATTTGAAGCTACGTCACCTACCTCCAACCAATGGTTACGGTAACCAGGATCACATGAGTATAAGTCAGTAGCTTCATGAACAGATGCCAAGTTTTGGTTTGACCTTTCCCAATTTTCTTGCAACCTGCAATGACAACCAAATTCTCATTCAAGATAGACAGTATGGAGGCTTAAAACTCAGAAAAGCAGTCCCCGCATTGAGTTATATCTGGGATATAAGTTTTTGCCTGTTCGTAGCCTTCATATCGGCTAATACCAACTGTGGCTCGAATAACGAAGAAAATGTAGGCAGAAGTCATCTGTTGTTTTCGAAAACGCCTAATACTTAACTAATTGACGACCAACTGTGTGAAGCTGTGCAACACACTCGAAAAGCCTCGAAATCTTAATCCGTTTACACAAACAGGAGAACGAGATGTGTGATATGCTAAAACGTAGGATAAGAACATGGAAATTAGGATCCTTGTATTATTGTCTATGATAGTCTGTGCGGAAAACCCTGACTTTAACTCCTAATCCTAATTCCTAACACTAATTTATAACTCTTTGATATGTGCGCCGTAACATCAGGGTAGTATCCATGTTTCCCATTGGCTTGGCAGTATCGTACAGTCAACCGATCGACATCAAACATGAACTATAGTCCTTAATGACAACTCATGAGAATTATTTGAAACCCCAATCAACTCTATTTTGCTCATGCTGGAACCTTTGAGCAAGCAACTCAAGTTTAATAGTTGACATAACATTTAAGTTTTCTTGTTAATAAACATAAGCCAATGATTGCTTAACAAATTAGTATATATATATTTGAGTCATTGAGTTTTCGACGTATAAATCCATTGACCAATGAATATTAATCAGTCATAATCAACGTACAGCATAGTACACACACCAGATGACTCAAGTACCAAAACATTAACACAACAGGATTATTACGCTAAGTTGAAAAGACCGAGATGAGACATCATTGAGAGAATGAACATTGTGAGTATGGTTCACGGTAGCAGAGTATAAAGTTATGATTGAAGGAATGCTAGGATTCGATACATAAAAATCAGATGAAATTTGGATGTGAGACTATTATATACAGACGACCATTGAGTGACATTAAAGTAGCCTTGACAATGTCCACCTACCTCCTGGGGCTAAATGAGAGTTGTAAAGCTATGAAAAGAATGAGGATTGTGATTTACAGTTGATGGTTAGGGTTAGGAATTAGATTTAAGGTCTTCATCACGAACTAACATCAGCTAAAATACCAAAACACTCTTTAACCAAATATATGAACAGACTTTGCGCTAAAATCCAAGACATGTCATCTTAATCCTTATTGGTTCCCCCATAAATTTTATTCTAGCCAGTAACCTTTTGCAGGCAAAACAAAGATTTGCTGCATGACAATGACGAAGTTCATACGTGACATGGCAGCATAAATTCATCCTTGAAAAAAAATTGAGCGTATCGTACCGAAAAAATCTAGACATTGCAATTTATTAGATGGCAAACAAAAAGCAACCATTATAACACATAAGGACAAACACAGTAACAAACCAATCCGAAGCGGCGCAGCAAGAATAGAGCGCGCTTCCTGAATTCAACATCCAATAGGCGCGTAAAATTAAGGTTTATTGTAGCCACAAAAAGAACATCAGAAACTGTTGTTATAAGCACTTATCATAAACAAACAAGAAGAAACAGAGTGAACTCTTTTTAGCAAATATTAGGACTTGCCACATCTTAAATTTGCTCCTTGATGACAAAACTGGCTTTTGTTAATACTGTCCTAGTATGCTTCCGTATACGATTATTTTTTAATGAATGAGGCATTCAGATTTGTAGAAACAATTTCTACTTGTGTTAGTTCCCAAAAGTTGACTACTTGGTGCTAAAATTCTCATCCTACCAGGACTCTTCGTCATCGACTTTAGAACTTATATTGACGTTCAAATTCAATAATTTCCTTAATAATAAAAAACCACATTTTTCTATATTTGTGTCACTTTATGTATCAATTGTGAGCGGACATTAATTAATTGGCTAGTTAATATTCATGTTATAGTTGATATTCAAAAATATATCCCCAGCGACTATTATTCGCCTTTATTGGCCACGGTCTGTGAACGAGAGATAAAATGGTTTTTCCAAATCCTGTTAGACCGCTCTACCCTATGTAGGACTCTTGTGTTGGATTCGATCACCCTGTCAGGTTTATATTTTGATTCACATTGTCACTGTAATTCGAGTGTATTTTGACATACATATTCAATGATTTTTGTAACAACAAAATCAAAACCACATTTTTTCTCTAATTTGTCACACTATATATAACCACATTTATGTTCAGTGCCTATTGTTTTTCTATATCGATGGTAAAAAACGATCACAATTGTTTGCATATACACATATACTGATATAATACCGCATTGGTTGAAATATAGACGCTACCACAGCCGTCTGTTCTTCTGCTTTATAGGCAACGGCCTTTGATTGAAGATTATAATAGTGTTATGACGTCCTTTGAAGCCTTCACACGCTACGTTGGAACTTTGGCCCGGATCATTATTAGATAATACTATTGGATTCAATCTTTCTCATGACGTCGTTGGTGCCACCACGTGCAAAGGAATCTTCGTTAGTCAAGTGAACCCATTTGTGTTTGTTATCTCAGAGAGCAGTTTATAAGTAACATTCATTTTATAACAACTGTTAGCGTCTTGTTGTTTAATACACCATTTATATTGTAACTGTAATTTGTTAACTTTTGCTCTACTCATAGACTGACACCTAGGGTGTTAACTCATTTTGGTACATTTTTGATAACCTTGCATACTGTTATATTTTGAATAAGCTCTTTGTTGAGATCCGCCACAGACTCTCGGTCGCTAGTATGGCGTCTACAGTTCTAGTGGTATATCTTTAAGATAAATTCAATCCTATCAGCCTAAAAATGTGTGGGAAACTCAGTTGAAAATTAGAAGTAAGAATACGGGAGAAGCGATTATTCAGCACACGTCCAAAAACGTACTGAAAATAGTTATTTATAGTTCTTAGTACAGTATACATCATTAAAATCCAACCAATTAGCGTGCAGGATTCGATACAGTTATCCAGTCATCGCATGCCATGGTGACATTCCGAAACGCACTTTCAGAGTATGATTGGAGGGAATTTCTTCGGCTACCTTCTGGCCTCTGGAGGTTTCATTGTGTGTCCTAGCGGGCATCCCAACGGATAGTAAACAGTTTCTGTTCAAAAGTTGTTTTTAGTTATTCCTACTAGATGAACGAAATGGAGGTTTAAATGACCGATCTTTTGTACGTAGCTTCTTTGGTTCCCTCCTGATCAGTGGTCATATCAAAACAAAAACTATGTGCCCAATTTAAACGGTTCTAATTTAGTAAATAGAGCAAATTATATCAAAAATACAAAATACCTCAAACGGTAAAGCCTGTGCTATACAGTCAAAAGTTTCTCTGGCACAAAGTAGGCTGTCAAACAACAAAAGAAGCTGTTAATACAAAAGAGTTCAATACCTGAGAATCAATAAAAATATTCTCAAAAAGATGGGATTGGAAATCTATCTGCAGGGATTCCAGCAATCTTCCCAATGTCAGCACTGAACCACGCCATGACCATGATCTTAGCCAAACACGACTCTACTGTTAATAGTCCGGCAACATGCAACAGAAAATTAGGTAGCAAAAGGTAAGTCTTTAATCAAAATCACATAACAAAAGCTCAGACAAGAAAAACTGAAGAAAATAAAGTGTGGTCAAAAGAGATCTGAACAAAGGTTAAAATACACGACGGAGGGAAGGAATAAGCAAGTGACAGTACTATCCAAAAAAATTCTGTGGAGGGATTTTCAGCGTTCTCTTTCCGTTACAGACCACATGGTACTACAAGGAAACTAGCTGTAATATGTAGCAGAAACGAGAGATAAAAATTCCTCCAAAATAATTAACTGAACACTACAGTTATCTATTTGTTTCTTCTCCTGTCTTGTATTACAAACATTGTCCAGCTCTCTTTTAACTGCACCTGGTGTGCTTCAGTCTTTCTAGTCTGGGATTTTATTATTTGGTATCTTGTAGGAAGCAATTTCCTACAGGTGTAACTTCAAGTTATTCTCTAGACCGTCGAACACAGAGTCTTGAATTGGCCAAAATTAGATCAAGTGAGCTATTTGGTTTGATAATATTTATGTTTCTAAAACATAAATCAACACTACTAGTATACAAAATAAACAATACAGTCTATCAACACAGGGAAAAACAGACATAAACACACCAAACAGTAACTAGAGGATAGGAAAAACGAGTCAACAAGGCAAATATTGTTTTATAGTGTACATAAAATTGTGATTGGTGAATAAACAAGACATAGTCCTGCAAGGTTAAAGAGAATTAATGTGGTGGTGGGCGTTTCACTTTATCATTGATGAGTTCGTTTATCGACCACACTTTAAAATCTGTTGTAATTTCTATCATTGAGACTCAACTACTCCTATTACCTAGTATACTAGTACACCGCTCTACTGGACAAGTCCCTAAATCTGAACACATTGGAACAGGAATTTAATTATATTCCTAATAAAAAGGTTGAATGGAAGCCGGAATCACAATAAAAAAACGCCGTTAGATTTAAATGTTTTACATAAGAAGGTTCTAGAGTTTTTTATACGTGTCTACTAGATCTGACTGGATGAAGAATAGCCAATCAGCGTGTTTTAACACAATCTTTCATGGAATGTGTTTGAGTCCAATCTATATTCCTTTAGCAGCCTTGATTGAAGACTTACATTTTATGCTTAGTTCTGCTGTTGCACTTTGTCGGACCACTGACAACATGGTCATGTATGACTTGACCCAAGGTCACGATGTGTTTCGGTGTATAATTGTTAACCTATGACCGTCTTCTTAGAAAGGTTACTGGAATCTATGCAAATAGACATCTGATCGTTGGGAATATTTTTATTGATTCTCAGGTATCGAAATCTTACTTATTAACCATTCCTCTTGTTGCTTAGCATGTTAGTTCGTGCAATATAAACCCTCGGCTTCACGGTACAGGCAGTACCGTTCGAGGCATGGTGTACTTTCGATATAGTTTCACTTCTTTCTCAAACAGAAACCGTTTCAATTGGACACAGAGGTTGTGTTTTGATATAATTTTATACGAGTTTTTCAAAAAACGCAACAGAAAAAAGCGTAGTTTGACTTAGCCGAATAAACTTTGGTTCGTTTGTTCTGCGTTCAAACATGATATTAAGATTTCGGCTGTTAAGTAATGTATGGTAGTCCAGATTGACCGGCCAAACAAATGAAAGGCAAACAGATCACTGAGATTCAAGAACTGTGGAGCAGGTGAGTACAGAATTTCGGAGAACCCCTAAACTGACCAGTGCTGCCGAACCTTCTGGGCAACCAAGGAGAACATACAGACCACTCATTAAATGATACTTCACGAACAATGGAAGAAATTAGTATGGCCACCACACAGATCAAGAGTGGAAAGGCAGCATGACCTGACCACATATCAGCTGAAACTCTGAGGTTCGACAGGGATGTAACTGCAAAGATGCTACACGTTATACTCAGAATGGTGTAGAAAGAAGAAAAAGTGTTGATAGACTGGAAAGGACGATACCTTATCAAAATATCAAAGGAAGGAGATCTTGGTAATTATGAAATACACTGAGACTTCAAGCTACTATCAATGCCAGGAAAAGTTCCCTACACTGTTCTGTTGAACCGGAAGAGAAATTCAGTAGAGGTTCAAATTGTAGAGCAACAAAATTAACTGAGTAAGGATCGATCATGTGCCCACCAAATCGCAACCGAACAAACGATTTTCGGGTAATCAGTCGAGTGGAACTCATCATCATAAACCAACATATGGGGCTATGGAAACGCATTTGACATCATGGATAAGAGAACCTTATCAAACCCTACTCGATTTTACGGCGTTCCTGAAAAGATTCTTACGACAATCATCACTGAAAAGTAGTTCATAGAGGATAGCTGACAGATGCATTCAAAGCGAAGACTGGTAACAGACAAGACTAATTACTCTCACCCCTTTTCTTTCTTCTGGTGGTTGGTTGGATTATGACTACCTCCATATCTCAAAAGAAGCAAGGAATAAAACACACAGACTGCATGTAACTAGACGATCTGGACATGACAGATGACCTGGTCCTTCCATTTCATACACACGAAAAAGTGCAGATGAAGACAACCAGTGTGCCAGAAACCTCTTCAGCAGTAGGCATCAACATATACAAAAAAATAAGATCCTCAAATACAAATTGGAAAACACTAATCTAATCACACATCATGGAGAAACTCTACGGGAGGTGGAAACTTTGACGTATCTGGGCAACATCGTCGATGAATAAGGAGGATCTGATGCAAACGTCAAGGTAAGGATCCTCAAAGTAAGGACCTCATTCCTACAGTTGAACAACACATGGAACTCAAAACAATCTTTAATACAAACGTAAACGCCGTTATTCCGACTGTATGGAGATGAAACTTCGAGAACTAACACAACCATCATCTAGGAAGCACAAGTATTTA